AAGAAAGGCGCAGTAACCGCAGTTAGTGTTGAAGCAGCCATGTCAGGGAGACGCTGTGCGTTTCTAGGCGTTCTAGGCGAATTTTGTTCAGATGTAAAATGTCATGTGGTTTGACTCCTCAAATATACATGATATACATGATAATACATGATATTTGTAAAAAAAATTGTAAAATTAGTTCACAGACTAAAATGTCACGTGGTTTGAGTCCTCAAAAACATAATATTTATGAGATAGTAATAAAATACGAATATTTGTTCAGGTAAAGTTAGTTGACAGAGTATAATGTCATGTGGATCGACTTCTCAAAAACTTAAAGATATTTATTAAAATGACAAATTCAAGATATTAGTAAAAAAAATAATTCAGATTTGTTTGTTTGTAAAATGTCTCCCCTTGACTCCCCAAAAACTTGATATTTATGAAATAGTAATACATGATGTGTGACTGATATTACTGCTGATATTGCTGTTATTACTTCAGGCAAAGTTGGTTCATAGTATAAAATGTGATGTCTGCTTGTAAAATATCATGTTGTTTGACTCCGTAATGTAATGATGTTTATAAAATAAAAAAATAATCTCATTTGTAAAAAAAAAAAAAAATTATATATAATAATAATAATAAATCTGAAATTAGTTCAGGCAAAATTTGTTAAAATTATAAAATGTTATGTATTTCATTTGTAAAACCTCATGTGGTTCGACTTCTCAAAACCTTAACAATATTTATAAAAGAGTAATGTTTGTAAAAAGCAAATATATAAATAAAATTCTGATATTAGTTCTATTAAAGTTAGTTCAAGTCATAAATTGTCATGTTGTTAGGTGGTAAAATGGCAAGGCAAGCTTATTTATATTGCACATTTCATACACAATGGTAATTCAAAGTGCTTTTCATAAAAAGGAATTAAAATAATAATTCAAATATACACAACAATAAAAGCAAAAAAAATTTGAAATGATTTAAAAAATGTTGTTTGGTGGTAAAATGTCCTGCAGTTCAACTCCCAAAAATGTATGAAAGCTATTTATGAGACAATAATTCAAAATATTTGTAAAAAAAAAAAATGCATTCAAATACTTTTTACGTCATGCCAATTTGCAAAATACATTTCTATTACCCATCCTAAATTGTTAGCAGAGCTTGTGGCCTCAACATGAAATCAGAATAGAGTTTTAGGGTGCTTTCACACCTGTAGATTGATTGCTTTTTTCCGGAACAGGGATTTAAATTATTACAATGTTGCTTTTTATTCTTGGTGCGGTTCGCTTTCACATGGAAAAGTTTCTAAACGGACCAAATTTGTTGATACAAGTCACGCGCGAGTAAACTGTTGTCTCATTGGTCAAAGTTCCACGGTTTATTTTC